CCCCAAAACCCCAAAACCCCTGAATGCCTATCTAATTCTATTATTTTAAGATCTAGAAATGAATATCAAAAATATAAAGCAATAACTATAAAAAGAATACATCGAGGAATTATAAAAGCTAAGATTTCTTTATCATTAAATTGATTCCTCAGACATAAAAGTAATAAGGGTCCTTACAGATCAAATTATCAAGAAATATTAAACTTCAGAAATACTTAAAGAACTTAAACATAGTTCATGCAAACATATATTCAAAGATCAAAATTACATTTGGACAACATGCTGTAGAAAAATAATCTGTCTTTAATGCTTTCTTTTGAATGAATACTAATGCTTAGAATGTAAAGCAGATTTAAAAGATCAAATCAATTAGTTAGACATCAAATGCCTTGTCTGCTATGAAAAAATTTCACATAAATATCCACCAGTTTTAATGGATGATTGTAGACATGTCTTTTGTGAGTTTTGCCTTTCGCAGTACATCAAGTAAAACATCTAGTAAGGGAGAATAGAGTAGGCAATATTATGTCCTTAGTGTTCAAAGACTACATTGAGCAACAAACAGTTGAATAGATTGGTGAATGAAAGTGAGTTTGAAAGGATTCTTAACATGTAATTAAGATAGGTTGACAATTTGGAAGCAACTGAGTGTCTCAAATTTTGCTAGAATTGTGACTACGCTGAGTTTATCTCAGTTAAAGCTGATAAATTTCAATGTATGAAATGCAATATCAAGATATGTCCGAGTTGCAATCTTGAGCCGCACCCGAACCTGAGTTGTAAACTTTATAGGGAGTCTGTGATTTCATAACAAGCAGAGTCTAATAATGTTGATTCTGCAATTGAGGGGGTTAAGCCTTGTCCTAAGTGTGGTTTTTTAATTGAGAGGTAGGATGGATGCAACTTTATGACTTGCATTTCATCATTGTGTATGAGAAAAACTTTCTTCTGCTATCTTTGTGGTATTGAGTAGAAGTACTCTGCTCATTTTAGTCATTATAAATATAAAGGCCCATTTGGTGATACTTGTAATACTATCGATTAGGTTAATGAAGACTCTGATGAAAGCGATGAAAGTGACCTTGATGATATTTAATTTTGATTGGATTATTAATATTAAAGCATCCTTAATTTCTTAACTATATGGTATGATGGGGTTTTGGGGTTTTGGGGTTTTGGGG